CCTCCCTTCCTCGTCGCCCCCCTTTCCGCCCCTCCCGCCCTCCCTCCCTCCCCTCCCTCCCTCCCTCCCTCCCTACGATGCTCCGTGACCAAAAACCTGATCCGCCACCTGGCTGCATGTGAGACGATGGGTAACGCCACAGCAATTTGCAGCGACAAGACTGGCACATTGACGGAAAACCGGATGACGGTCACGCATTGCTATTTGGGAGGTAGGGAAGGAGGAAGGGAGGGAGCGAGGAAGGGAGGGAGGGAGGGATAGCAAGCTGGACGTCTGCGTGGATGCGAGGAGAGGGGTGCCCAAGCCGACCTCACAAACAGTCGCCGGCTCCTTGGTCGAAGCCCACTGACCTGTGACACCCCCCTTCCCCTTAGATCTGGGCCCTCAAAACCGTCTGCCGCCGTCCCTCCCTCCCGCCCTCCTTCGGCTCTTGGGCGACGGGATCTCGCTGAACACGACGGCGAACCTGGACAAGGGAAGCCAGGACGGGAGGGAGGACGCGGAGGAAGGCGGTGTCGGCGTGGGGCAGGTGGGAGGGGGGCAGTTGGCGTTCGATGGACTCTACTTTCGTCTCTGTGCGCGTGACTTGAACCTGCCGCATGGCACTTTTAACCCTCGCTCTCTCTCTTGACCTTGCTCCCTAGAACGGCCTCCCCTCCCTCGGCTCTTCCTCCTCCCGCCTGCCCTCCTTCCTTCCCTCCCGCCTGCCCTCCTTGCTCTCCTCCCTCTCCAAGCCGCCCGTGAAGATTTTGGGGAACAAGACGGAAGGGGCACTCCTCCTCTTCGTGGATGCCTACAACGTGGACTATGACAAGGTGGGCCTCCCTCCCACGCCTTCCCCCTCTTCAATTTCCCTCTTTGCCGTGTTTCCCCGCACGAACGCACACCTGGTGCTTACGCTCCCTCCCTCCTTCCCCTCCCTCCTTCCCGCCCTCCCTCCCTCCTTCCCTCCCTGTTCTCTCCCTTCTCAATCCAGGTGCGAGAGAATTACAGGGGATCCATCCAGTACAACCCTTTCTCCTCCAAGCGGAAGAAGATGAGCGTCCTGGTCCCCGAGGGGGAGGGCGGTGGGAAACAGAGGGTGCTCTATGTGAAAGGAGCAGGTAGGAGGAAGGAGGGAGGGAGGGAGGGAGGGAGGGAGAGAAGGTGTCTGGAGGCTTCTGTAGGGTGGGCTGGGAGAGCAATCCTTTAAATACCGCTCGGGAAGGGAGGCAGACGAGGGAGAAGAGAGGAAGAGGGAGGCACCTGAAGGTAGGGGCGAAGGGAGAAGGGAGAGTCACTGACGCGGGTTGTGGGGAGGGAGGAAGTTCGGTGGGAAGAGCGAGTCTACGTCGTTCTCTGACAAATGCTACTCCTGATGCTTTTATTGCCCTTCCCTCTCCTGTCACCCCGCTTCTCGGCAATGGTCAGCCGAACTGATCCTGGCATCCTGCACCCACATTTGCGGTGCGGAGGACGGGAAGAGTAAGCCCCTGGACGCGGAGAAACGGAAGGAATTGGAGGAGTATATCACCACGCTGGCCAAGCAGAGCCTGCGGACGATGAGGTGGGGAAAGGAGAGGGGGGGGGGAGGGCGGGAGGGAGGGAGGATAAGACTGAAGGGGTGCTGTAGGCAGATGTCCCTCGCGCGGCCTTGGCAGATTCATTCTTGCCCTTTCTCGTCTTGTACCTTTAACGGTCCTGAATTTTACTTTTTGTGCGCGGTGTTTATGTCTGTGGCTTCTCTCTGGAGGGTAGAACGTCTTTGTAGGGTACAAAATGCCTTCTATATATCCAGAGATTCGTCTCTCGGCCTAATTGACCTTTTTTCTCCTCTTTCCTCACCTGCTGGACCCCGCGCGGCCCTTTATTTCCCACGTTCCTCAGTATATATTTCCTTTTCATCTTTTCCATCTCCCTCCCCCCTTCCAATCAATAGTTTGGCTCATCGGAGCATCGACCCCGCCAGCCTGTCGAAAGGCAAAGCTGCCGGCTTCGGGAAGGGGGAGGCGGGGGGGTTGACCTAGATGAGCTGGAAGAAGGCTTGACGCTGGACGCGATAGTGGGGATCACGGTAGGTGTTCGCTGTCTCCTTTGCTCTCTGTCTTGTCGGCGGTGCGGAAGGGAGGGAAGGGGGGGGGGGATGCCGGTTCAAGAGAGGCTTTCGTCCGATCTTGCTAAATTGATATCGGGGCTTTGTACGGTGCACGTCTGTGCGATGGCGACCCTTTTTTCCCTATATTTAATTCTTGCATTCTACACCCCAAGCGTATGTGTGTCATTTAAGGGAGCACCCTTACCCACGCTCACCGCACCCTATCCAGCCTGCCGGGGCACTGTAGTCCTTCCTAGCCCTCGTGGCTCACTTCATCTCCATATTGACCTCTTGTTCTTTTTCTCTGGCTTTTTGAACAGGATCCCCTCCGACCCGAAGTCAGTGAGGCCGTGCGGGCCTGTCAGAAAGCAGGTATCATGGTACGCATGGTCACCGGAGACAATGTGGAGACCGCAAAGGTAGGCAGGGGGAGGGAAGGGGGGGAGGGGACCAGTGTCTCGCCTTTTAAGCAATCGATGGTTTGTGTCTCGGTGCTGTGGGAAACGGGCGATTCATTGCACCCCAGGCGCCGATTTACCTCCGTGGCCCGCCACAGCCAATATCAATATCTCAATATATATATATATACATATGTATATATTCTCATATGGGTCCGATGCCATCCGTCACTCCATACGGATTACCCCCCTTCCCACCGTTCCTCTCCCTCTCTCTCCCTGTCTCTCACAAAAAGGCCATTGCCCGACAATGCGGGATCCTCACCTCCTGCGGGACCGTGATGGAAGGCCCCGCCTTCCGCGCCCTGACGCCGAAGCAGCTGGACGTCGTCCTCCCTTCCCTGCAAGTCTTGGCCCGTTCCTCGCCCGACGACAAGCACACCCTGGTCGCCCGCTTGAACGGGACCTTGCCGGAGGACCAAGCCGAGTGGGAAAAAGCCCACCCGGGAAAATCGTGGGAAAGGGAGCGGGACGGGCTCTTGCCCGGGTACTTGGAGGAATGGGCCGTCTCCCGGGGAGGGGTCGGGGAAGTGGTGGGGGTGACCGGAGACGGAACCAACGACGCACCGGCCTTGCGGGTGGCGGACGTGGGCCTGTCGATGGGTTTGAGCGGCACCGAGGTGGCCAAGGAGGCGTCGGACATTGTGATTATGGACGATAACTTCGCCAGCATTGTCAAGGCGGTTCTGTGGGGCCGGGGGGTCTTTGACAACATTCGGAAATTTTTGCAGTTTCAATTGACCGTCAATGTGGTCGCACTCACCATTACTTTCCTCTCCGCCGTATCCGGGTATGACCCTCCCCTGAACGCGGTGATGATGCTGTGGGTGAATTTGATCATGGACACCATGGGGGCGCTCGCCCTGGGAACAGAAGCCCCCACTCCGAATTTGTTGGTGCGTCGTCCTTACAAGCGGAACGCCTCACTCATCTCCCGAACCATGTGGCGCAACATTTTGGTGCAATCCGGGTATCAAATCATCGTGCTGGTCCTCCTGCTACTCCGTGCGAACGACGTGCTGGCCTTTGAGGGGTGGTGGGTGCACCGGCCCGGCGCTTCTCTTCCCGCCCCCATTGAAATGGGCTCCACCCGACACATGACGTTGATCTTCAACGCTTTTGTCTTCTGCCAAATTTTCAACGAGTTCAACGCCCGTTCCTTGGGCGACGACGTCAACATTTTGCGTGGCTTGGAAAAGAATCCGGTCTTTATCGGCATCATTTTCTTCACGGTCGTGGTCCAATGGGTGGTTGTTCAATTCGGGGGAGAGTTCACCAAAACGGCGCCCTTGAGCGCGGAGGAGTGGCGGGCCACGGTGCTGCTGGGCATGTGCGCCATCCCCTTAGGTGTGGCCATGCGTTACTTGCCCGTGAGCGAGAACCCGGACGATTTCGGAGGGACGGCAGAATCCGGCTTCGAAAACGTGGAGCCGTCGGGGGACGCGAAGCAAGCCTTAGCCCAAGCGCCTGCCCTCTATCACGTCCATCACCACGGGGCTCGGCGACGGGCACAAGTGTGGCGGTGGCTCGGCGTCCTTTTCCAATTGTCCGTCTTGCTGGTCGTGCCCGTGCTGGTGGGCATTTGTGTAAAGGACCCGGAGCGTTGCCAATCCCTGGGGAATTTTCTTGACTTCTACAAGTTTTAGTTTTTTTTCAAAACGCGGAAGTTCCTGGGGGGCATGGAGCCGTACATGAGCAACATCCTACGTGGACGACGCGATAACTCAAGGCGATACGCTTCCGTAGGAAGGGCGTACGTGGATGATCTAGGAGTAGGAGGGCAACAATCAAAGAATAAAAACATAAGTCAGCTTCATGCCTATTCTCTTCCAGTTTCTGTCGCTCTTTGTCAGTATTTACTTCTTTAAGTTGTAATGCATCCAGCATTGGAATCGCTACAGCAAACATGAGGCGGGAAAGTGAGCACCAAAGTGGCATGCGGCATATCCCACAATCGATACCACTGGTTTTGACAAAACTTTGGGAAACGCAGATATTTATGCAGAAAGCTATTTTCAGTGCCCAACAAAATATCGGTAAAGCGATTAGACGCAGCACCAAAACCAAGAAACTCTCCACCCCGCTATCAGACAATGCTTTTGGTTGCTTCTGTCTGAAGGCTTTGCGACGCCCTTGGCAAACGGGGCTGATGGCTTTTGGGTTATATGTTCCCGACACGCTGACTGCTTGAACCTCCTCGTCCTGTGCTTGAGCTGAGGGCCTCAGCACTTTTGGCAGCTTATAAATACCTTCTGGTCGACTCAAACAGCGTGAGAGCTCATCACTTCATTAGGAGTAATTTAATCGGCAGCGGACACGGCAGTCAAGAAATTATGGAGCACAGATTTTGGCAATTCGTACCAAAATTTCGGGTTGGCGATGCTTCAACCACAAAGCCGCCCCTCATCCCCTCTACTTGCGAACATCCCATGGACCTGTATTCAATCAATTTGATCAATTTGATCAATTCGAAAGTCGGTTGATTATTGTGAAGCTTAATTCTTTGCTTATGAAGTTTGATTCATGATCGTATTGGGTAAGAAATGTCTTATATAGCGGGCCCCAAAAATCCCATATTCCTGTCGGAAAAGATCACAACCTAATGTGGATGTTCCCCTCTTTCGCCTTACAAAATTAGCACAGAAATATATCTGTCTGGTAACACAGACTGTCTCTTCTCATGACTCCTCTGTCTCCGACGACGGAGCGATTGCGTTCCTTACTTTTCAGTCTGGCTGCCACCGTACGGCTGATCGGGCGGGGGACCAGAGGGGGCAGTAGAGCCGATGTGCTCACAATCGTTCATCAGATAACCCACCAGAGTCGAGTATCGCTGTCAAATCCAAGGATTTGGAATGATGAGAAAATGACAATAGTGGCGCTATTATTTGACTCCACGGAACCGCCGGATTTATTGACGTTTTTAAGTGGGGGAGGAATAAGTTCCCAAGACGAGGGCAGGGAAGCGGCTGAGAGCCTTCGAAAGAGCAAGGAACAGGCCCTTAATTTCATATATGGCCTTATCAAGATACACCATGCATCAAAACTACTTCAAGGGTATGAAGGTCTCATTTTCCATGCCGCCTGGGGCGTCTACCGTCGGTCTGCAGGGAAGGTCAGAGGCATTTCCGAAGTCCTGTATCGCGACCTAAGAGTGGTGGCTTTACTCGTTCGTTTGTATCCTGAGCTCATAAATGAGCAGGTACAAATGGAAAGGGAAGATGAAGCTTCGAATTACTTCTTGAGGGAAGAAGGTGCCCGGCGATACGAGCAAAAAGAGGTGGGGATGGAGGAAGAGGAGGAGGAGGAAGGGGAGGAGGAGGAGGTCACGTCACAGAGCGAAGAGGGGAGCGAAGGCGAAGAGGAAGCAGAGACAACAAAGTTTATGGGGACATGGGGCACAAAGGCTGGGGGAGGACACGGTCCTTCGCACATGGCAGTGCATACGGAAAGACGACGAGAGATCCCAGCCGGCTATCAAATGCTGCGGGTCTTCCGCCGCCAGAGACGAGGTGTCAAGGGCCAGGCAAAAGCCACCCGGATGTACGGACAGGAATTGAAGACTGTGGCACTAGTTTTGGCGTTGATCTGGGAGCAAGTGATGGTCGAGGAGGACAGAGGGGCGGACGGAGGGTCGAAGATGGTCTTAAACGAAAGTCACTTAGTAATGGAGCATTGCCAAGCGTTGTTGAGTAAGAGAGAGCCCCCTCAGCCAGACATAGCCGCCGGTATATTTGGAGCAATCGATCGGCTCCTTAATATCTCCTCGGGACCGTTTGAAAATGGAAGAAGGGAGGACGGGAGGGAGGGGGGGAGGGAGGGAGGGAGGGAATTCTTATTCACACGGATGCGGGCCATTGTGGACGACTTTGTGCGAGGGAAACTAAGTCGGTACGCTCCAGTGGCTAAGATCCTCCGGCTTATGGAGCACCACGCCATCTTCTTCCGGGCATGTCTAACAAACGAGAACGAGACAAAGGGAGGAGGAGGCTTGATGCAGACGTTGGAATGGATCTCTGGCGTGTATCAGAGAGCCCAGCAGGTACGCCGAAGTACACGATCTTGTCACTCGTTGTATCCTGGCTGGTACAATACCTAGCGTCGCCCCCTTATAATTTCCGCATCCTATTTTCCACCACTTGCTCAGGTCAAGTCCTCCTCTTCCACCATCGAAAAACACGCCCTACCCGCTTGGGAGGCCGTCGTCACTGTCCTCGTGATGGAATGTGAGGAGCGTCAACGCTCCCTCCCTCCCTCCCTCCACCCATCCCTCCATCCTGACGTCATTCCTTTCCTCTCCCACTTTCAACGCCGGCTTCTTGACGCCCCGGGGACATGGGCCGAAGCGCTTGCAACCGCTCGTGGAATCGGCATCCTGGCACCACTGTGGGCGGTGGCGCCGACAAAGGAAGGGAAGGAGGGAGGGAGGGATGGAGAGAGGGGTGTTGGAGGACTAGGTTCCTTGCTCCTTGATTTAGCCACCTTGGGGGAACGGGTGCTCTCACAGTTGGACAAAGGTGCGGAGGAGGAAAGTAGAGAAGAAGGCGCGGGACGGTATGTTCTCCTACGTATATCGTTTGCAGTGCAATTGCGCTCGACGTTATTGGAGGCTACGGCGAGAATACTCGTGGCTGGCGTCAAACAAAGGGAGGGCAAAAAGAAAGGGAAGGGACGGATCGATTTCCTGGGGGCAGCGCACCGAGCCTCATTGGACTGGTGCATTTCCATGGCCGCAGCGGTGGTTGGGAGCTACAGGAAGTTTCCTCGAGAACGTTCCGGGACTCGTCGGGCCTTGACAGCGATATTAAAAGCGTTGGGCGGCATACAACGCGAGGAAACGGAAGAAATGGAGGGTAGGAGGGAGGAAGGGCCATTGAGGGTGTTTTTGAAAGCAGTGCTCCCTGTGGGAATGCTGCGGGTGGTATCAAGAGAGGATGTCATGAACGAGACAACTAGGCAGGAGGAAGCGGAAGTCTATGCGGGATTATGGCGCGAAATCATTGTTGCTTGCGGTCTTACAGCGGAAGAGGCGGACAAGGGGCAAGAAGCCGTGGGTGCATTGGTACTACGGGGGCTCGTTGAAGAAGGAATGTTGAAGATGGTAGAGCGATTAGACTTGCGCTACACACTGATGATTGTGCCAGCCAAGGAGGATGCGGAGGAAGGGAGAGAGGTGGAGGAGGAGGAAAAATTGATCCCGTCCATGCTCATGGACCAAGAAATCCTCCTGTCCCTGACTGCTTTTTGGGAAAGCCTTTTAGCGCACGCCTTCCACGCCCCTCTCCTAGTCTCGCACATTCCCCTGGTGGCACCCCTCCTTGTCCGCCTTTCCTTGGCCCGTCCCGCGGTGTCCTGCCTCTATCGGCTCCTAGGTCTCCTCTTGCGGGCCCTGAAGGCGACGCAGGCTTTGCAAGGGTGGGACTCCGTAAGCAGAGGAGAGCAGGATAAGCGAGGGGAGGGGACGGATTTGCAGGAAGATGCTGCTTGTCCCCGCTCGCGCCTTCCTCCTCCATTCACTTCCTCCCTCTTGCCCGCACCAGACATTCAGGCCCTCCATCGGCTTCTTTCTAGCTACCTTCTTCGCGTCCTCCGGCGTCTAGACACGTTTCAAGATGAACTTTTGCTCTCAGCCCTCGGCATGCTCCTTGCTGCACCCCTCCTTCTCCTGCCCTTTCCCCGCCTGCTTACCGCCCTCCACCTCGCGCTTGTCATCGGGACGGCCCATACCCCCACGGCCCATGCAGCAATGCTGGTGCTCGAAGAGTGGCAGGAAGCAGCGGCGGAGGAAGCGTATCGACGTGGTGACGAGGAAGGAAGCGACGGAGGGCTGGTTGCTGCGTTTGATGCCGGCCTCCCCCGTATTTTACCTCTGTTTGATCGGTATTTGCGGGGAGGAACAGGGAGGGAGGCGGCTCCTAGAACGGAGCAAATTACCTTCCAAAAGCGCATATTACGATTTCTTGGGCATTTAGGAGGTAAAAATCAGGGAATTATCGCTTCAATGGAAGAAGAGATGGGTGAGCAGGAGGACATGGATGGCGGGGTGGAGCGAGGCTCGGTCCACGTGGCGCTTCCATTTGAGGACCGCGCGGTGTCAGTGGTGGAACTGGACGTATCTGTCGTGCTACCTCGGTTGCTCAGCCTCGCCGAGCAGAAGGGAGAGGCACAAACCAAAGTTCTCGCATCAGAAAGCATCCATGCCTTAGTCCTCTACCTAGTGGGCCGGGGCGCCACTTCTCCCGCGTCTTCCCTCCCGCCCTCCGCCGTCTCCTCCTCTACGGCTTTTCTCCTTCGCTCGCTCTTTCCCACACTCATTCATCTGGCTGTAGACTTGAACGGGGTGATTCGTGCTTTATTCTCCACGCTCATTTTCCAACTGATCCATTGGTACTCCCGGGTCCAGTCTGAGCACCCCGAAATTCCCGCCCTGTTGGATTCCCTCACGACTGGCTTGGCTGGTGGAGGGAAGAGGGGAAATTATGAGGAAGATCGGGTGGGAAAGAGCGGAAATGGACCGGTGCGGCGCTTATGTGCCAGGGGCATGGCTGAATTTGTACGGTATGCGATTAAACAGAGCAACAAGAAGATGACTACCTCTCCTGTAGGTGTGGCATCTTTGATGGCCCGCTTGGAACGCATGGCACGTCATCCTAGAAGAAGCTTCAGGATAGGGGGCGCGTTGGCTTTGCGTTTGTCGGTCAGATACTTACGGGAGGAAACAACTTTGGTACGCTTATACGCCTTGCGACTCTTGCAGGGGGGCTTGGAGGGGCTGCGGGTCGGGAGGCGGGCAGCGGAGGAGGAAAAAGAG